CGAATACAGTAGTTCAACTACAAACAACTTTAATGAATTGATTAACGACCTATTTTCTGCAAATCAATTGTAGTGGTAATAATGCATTTAAAAACAAAGCAGTTGATTGCGTATACAATGCATTTATAAATATTTTTTTTTATATTGCGCGTGTCATCCAAACTTGACATAGCGTAATACTCGGCGTAATGTAACAAAAGCGTTACGTGTTTAAGTTTATTTTATACAGGGTGTTAAAAAAGTAGGGAATCAATACCGCACATAACAATTCGGCTTCCGTCTCCTTATATACCGACACCGTTTGAGATGTACACATGAAAATTAGAGCTACCATTGGAAATTATGTTACATCTCGTGCCACATTAAGTATTTAAGTTAAAAACATTTTTCACGAGCGTCATCTTGAATTTTATTAAATGGCAACATAGGTCAGGTCATCATGTTCATGTGATGCGTCCTTAGAAAGCTTATTTTTCCCTTTCTGGCTACCTTAAATATGTATGGTGTTAAATTAGAAAATAATACAGAAAAAATTAGAATAAACCTTGCCATACGCTTGGCTGGCTAATGTATTGCACCTTAGATACCTATAAATTAACAGAACGCCAAAAATTAACAAAATATCGAACAAAAAAGAAATGAGCAGGGGTTTAATAAGTAACAAAAACCTCGACAAAAACACAGAACAACTATTGTATTAAGTAAGTAATAAACTTTAATTTTGTGAAATATGAACCTTTTGACATTTTTTCTCCATTACTTTCTAACTGAACATCATTCATGATAAGGTAAGTAGTAAGAGAAAAAAAATACATAAACTTTCTCAAGTCATGACGTACTTATCACCTGACCTATGTTGCGATTTTAAAGAATTCAAGATGGTGGTCGCACTCAAAAACCATGGCAAAACAATTTTTTTAATCTCAAATTATGTGAAATCATTCAATTGGAAGCGTATCAAACGGCATACGACAGGGAGACCCGGTTGTTGAAAAATCTTGCGAAAAGAGAATAGATACTGATACTATTATACACCAGCATTTGAAATAGTAGAATCCGAGGTAGAATCAGTCATGGGTTAGACTTTTTTAGAAGGGTAAAATTTTTTCGAATGTAAAAAAAATTGGATAGAACATGTGTAGCAAATTTGACAAAAGCCTCGAAGCCTCAACAAAAGCTTTGAAAAGGTGAAAATATTGGGAATTTTGTTAGAAATTGCCCTGGAAATTGCTTAGAAATGAACATGTGGAGTACGAGAATACTTTAAAGATTTAAATAGGTAAACGTTAAATGAATTTATTTATTTATATTCATTTCAACAAAGCCAAGAACCAAATTAACAAACATTTTATCAAATTCCCGCCAGAAATGTTTGGCCCTGCTTCATCGATTTATGAATCAATTACACACAAGTTTTGTACACATTTCTCGCAACTTACGCATTGCTGTGATCTATTGAATCTATTGTACGAGTACTTATAGAAAACTCGAAAGAAAGCTTAGCTATCTGGTGGGAATATTACATTTTTTATCAAAATGTATCAAATATCTCTCCCCCACATTCTAAACGCTTAATTTTCTGTTTAATATGCAGATATGAAAATAGCTCCGTTTTGAAATACTTTCTTCTTTCTTACTTGTGTAAAGTACTTCCAAACGATACAAATCAATTATTAAAGTCGAGATTAAAGTCGTCAAAAGTAAAAAAAAACAACTAATGGTCATGGTCATTGAAAATATTGCTTGTCATCAGGGCCACTTCCTAATAAAAGCTATCCTTGCTCATGCATTTCGTGTACTGAGTTGCAAGTGGTTTTCAACTATTTCGACCCCCACACATCGGATTCACTAACTAGGAGCATTACTCGGAGCATTATCAGAAAAGCAGCAACGAAATTTTGGCGCCATTTCGACCTAAATATGAAAATCGCGGACTTCCACTTCCGATAACATTTTTGACCATCGTCCATCGTGTTCCTTGGCCCCAAAAACGTGGGTCCAGACCCTTGAACTGTAAAAATCGGATACTTTAGACGAAGAATGCGCCAAGGAGGTCCACAATCACAACACATGCCTTGTATAGATTGGGTCCATTTAAAATCCTGAGAAGGACTAGGGTGTGATAACCTCGACTGGATATACCTGGTGACCAAACGCCAATTGATTTATTCTAATTTCTTTAAGGATCACTAGTCTCGCTGCGTGCTTGATGACGAATCCTTTAAAATTTCTCCGAAAACTAATCCCTCTGTTCCTTATTACAAAATGGCTTCTTATTAACGCAGACGGCCATCTTTAAATCGCTAACTCGTTTACTTAATTCCTGCCCTACTCGTCGCTATACGAATCAAATAAAAGTTAAGGTACCATTCGCAAATACGACCAACTCGCGACCAACATATGGTATGTTGCAGTTATCACGTTGATGAAATGACCTCATGCGGAATTCGCACTTATAATCAAATAGCCCTAATTAAGATAACTGAATATGATCCAAATTCCAGACATCTCGTATTCAAACATCCGAAGTTCATTAAGAAAACAATGCTCTCTAGACATTGAAAGATGCAAAAAGAACAAACTTCCATTCCATCGATGTCTGCCTATTTATTGTTACAATTCCACTACCAAATCTCAGTACTCCTGACTCTACCGTTAAGTCGAGCGTTAACGATAAAACTAAATTACCGCGGTCCGTAAATTGATTGATTTAGGTCGAGATTTAGGTATACGTAGTTTCTTTATATTTATAATTAAAACGAGCGCAAATTTTATTCTTATCGCTTCGACATGGATAACACTAAGACTAAACGCAATTTATTTTGTTTGTATGGTAGACAAAAATCGGGAAAATCGGCATATCATTTTTCACAAAAAAATTAGTCACATCCACCTTTATTCCTTATCGCCGATGACTAATCCTTTATCGACTTGATGGCGCCTTGATAACGTTTTAGAAAATTCAAAAGAAAAAGTTTTGTACATTTTCACGCAGAAATCAGTCGGAGGAAAAATTTTCAAAACCATGACTGGGAAACTAATTGCGAGGCTAATTGGTTGGGTATTTTAAAAGATTAATGGCGAGATTAATGGCAAAGGGAGAAGATTTGTACACTTTTACCAAGAATGTTAGATAGCAAACAGTGGTGTATAAATAATTTCCATATATACTACCTACTCAGTTTTCGAGACATAGCATAAAGCATTTATTTTTTTGCTAAAATTAGTCCCTAATTTTAAAAAGAAATACATATATCAACCTCTATGGCGTTGAAAAGAGCAAAACATACTCGATTTAATTTAACAATGATGATGATAGGAAATTAAAAATAAAAACTTAAAGCTATTTTTCAAAAATTTTAGTGGTAATGAAAATTATTTCTAGGACACTAATTTCTACGTGCCTTTTCCTTCACAATTTGTTTATTTCTGTTATCATAACAATGTTTCAGCTTTTGAAGAATGATCGATTTTGGTCGACATGTACTTAGTAGGCCATGGATTATCTAAACAAAACAATAGCATTGACCACTTACCACTACCTTCCCATTAGTGAATGACATTATGATTAAATTCGACCACAGAAATAGACACATTTTTTCTCATGTAACCGTGCTTTTTGTACAGTTGTCATCTCGGTTGCCATGGTGATACCGATTAATCATGAAATCGACAATTTTATGAACCTACAAAAGTGTCACAAAATAGCGCCTTCTCGAGCGTCTTATTGTGACGGTTGGAGGAAAAGTAAATTTTTGTTTTTCTCAAATATATTGAAAACAAAAAAAATGAAATTAAATTTAAAGTGATCTTTCAAATCAGCGATGAATTCTGCAAAACGTTGCTCATTTCCATTTCTTTCCATCTCTTGAGATACCAATAGTGAGCGTCGAACTATGGACACCAACAAACAATAGCCAACAACAAAGTTTCACAAACTTGTGAATTTTGTACAGAGTCCTAATTTCACCAAGCCATGTGAACAGCTGATATGAGGGCGCTCAAGCTAACGGACTATGAAATTTTAGCTAAACAAGGCCGAACAAGTTTGACAATAAATTAATTAATGTACTACTCGCTGCTTACTATAAGTTCAGGTATGGGTAGGTTATTAATGCAAATTACACAAATGACGCGATAAAGCGGATGCAGTTGTCACTTGACCACCTTGAACGTGTTGCACATAACTCATCCTGCAAAATGCTACCCCCTTCTTGGAAGTAACCACCTGCCATGGGCACCAACCCGTATTTTTCCACAACCGACCGTCGACCGACCACTTCTTTTGTGGAAACTTTTAATAATGCTATTGTGAAGAGATTGGCATTTTCCCGCCTGAAATAATTTGCTGCGAATACATTTTCGTCAAGGCTGATGACATTCAAAACTATTTTAATCCCGTCCAAAAACAATTTCGAGGCATCCACTTCGATTGTGTCATCGTCAGCGAATCGTCAATTCTTTAAAGATGAGCAAGAAGACGTATACATCATTCATCGAATTCAGGGAAAATAATGAATGGATCGAGAAAACGTACCTACCGATTTCTGGAAAATTCCGCATGATTGCACAAGGTTTCCCTAAACACGAGGCGAGTGCAACTGTTAAAATTGATAAAGTGTTAATTATGAAACGTTTTTATTATTTGTTTATCATATCAAAGTTTACGTCAAGCGTGTATTAATAGTAGCGGTGTGCGCTGCTGAGGTAGGTATAAATAAAATGAGTGGCGTTTCATACTGTTAGGAACTGAAATTCAGGTGGAGGTAGACAAATATAATTGAGGCCTATCACGAACACGTGTTTAACAACAATAACGTTTCCTTATTGACAAAACGCGCAATGCGAATCGGTAATGTAAATTTAAAATATCGAGAGTAGGAAAGTTTTAGAACCGCGGTCGTCATGGCAACGGCCTTTTACATTATCAAAGCAATCGATAAATACAATCACACTTGGTACGTATGGGACATTTTACATTAAACAGTGGAGAAACTTACCTTTAATTCGTCAGTTATTAACTGATATCCAATTGATTAGGCGATCACTTGGAAATAAACAGAAGCATCACACTAAAAACAACGTTTAGTACGCGTAATAGGAAGATAATTATTAAGGAAATCACTAAAACACTACTACTATTAAAGCCTAGCGAGGTTGCTTTGTTAAACACTACAAGAGGACAATGTACAGCAGACTACAGACAGCCACACGCAGGACGAGGTAACATCAGCTGCGCGTACAACGAACAACGATCGGCAAACGGACTGCACGGACGCACGGAGCTAGGCAGGCGACCCCAAACATACGAACCGAGTGAAAGTGAGAACGATAAACTGTTCATCATTTAACAGATAAAGATCGACATTCGGTTCGTTCGTTATCGTATTTATATCAGGGATTTGCCGTGCACCTTTTCATTCTCAAATCGTTGATTGGTTAACAGCGTTATTTTGGCGGGCAAATGCATTTCAAATTGTCGCATTGACGCAAAAATGGATGACTAACTGTAACTAATAAGGGAATCAGTAAAACGACAATGTTAAGTATTGTGGTCGTATTATTGATAATAATGTATTTGATACACTTCCTATTACTCATAGGTCAAGGATTTTTCCAGTGGCGGCGACGCCACAAGCGCGTTGTTTTTGATTGTGCACAGCGCACACGACATTTTGGGAGAAGTTGTCGTACAAAGCCACCTCAACTAAAGCAGTCCTACCTATTGTGCAAATAGGTTTAATTTTTAATTCGCGATTTATTTATGGGTACTCTGAGTCCGAGATAATAAGGAGGTCCCACTATGAACATTTTTGAAATGGCAGGAGATACTAATTTGGTTAAATCGAAGAAAAGTTGCGCAATTAAAGGTCTAGAAGATCCAAGCTAGCGTTTAGAAACCCTTGAAAAAGTGGTTGGTTTTTGAGCTATTTGGAAAAAATCGAATTTTTCAGTTTTACGAACTATTTTTTTCTGGTGTTTGTTTTTACTAAAAGCGTCTATGGTTACAGTTTTAAAGAGAGACCTTCATCAGTAAAAAAGTTGGCATTTTGCAGTCTGAACATGGGCGAATTTGATTTTTACTATGTACGATGTGTTTTCCTTTGCGAATGAGATTTGCAGTCTTCGATTTCTACTACGCCCACTCAACAATAAAGACCCAACAAATAAAATAAACAATAACAAACATGTGATATTTTAACAGAAGATTTGAGATTTAAAACACTATAAGAAACGAATTTGCATAAAACAACTCAATTTAGAGCATATGTTCGAAAAGGTTTCCACTATTTTCTAACGGATAGCATCTTCTGGCCGTCGATTCTAACACCCATAGTCAGCATTTGTGAAGTTCTGCTAGCAAATCCTTACTAATCACTTTTCTGGAATTATGTTCACAAGGAACTAAGACTATTAAAGATAAACTAAATTTTTAACACGAGCGCTATTTCGTTATTTATCACTTCGACATCGATGTTAAGACTGAGACTGAACACGATTTAATTTGATTATATACCAAACGATAAACCTTCTTTTAATTCTTTATCGACTTGATGGCGTATCGCGAATGTTCTAGAAGGATCGCTACATTTCAACTCCTCTTAAAACTGTTGCGTCTCGGAACACGGACGACGGTCTTCCATTTTCGCACAAAAATCAATTAACAGTCTTACGAAAGTGTTACGATGTTCCTCTGCGGATGAAACAGCAGGTCAATATTTCTACCTCTTGCATATTGCGCAAGATGCGCCAGTCTTAACTCATCAAGACCACATCCGACCACTGGGATTGCCAACTTTGTAACACCATGAATTTGTAGTTATTGTTTGATGTCCTTGTATACAGTATACGCCGTGAGTCAAAGCGTATTCTGCGGGCGCTTCAAACGAATCTTACGGACAACACCAAATCGTGCCCTTTGAGTTCCAGTGTAATGTGCCATACATTCTGAGACACATCAAGCTGTTTATGCTCTTCACGACTGTATACGGCCCTTCCCAATCTCGTTCGCAATTTCGGAGATAACATTGTGTAGTTTAAGTGGTGCTTTCCTGTTATTGGTCGCTGTTGTCGGGAAAATTTCTTCTGTTGTGCCCGTTTTTACTACAGCGCAACATAGCAATTCTCGTTTTTTGGCCAGCTTCGAATTTAGCTTCCACCGTCTGTTGGCCGGCTTCTATTTTAGCTTCGATAGCTTATTGATCGAATTTCATGTCATTTAGACCGGCTTCGGTTTTAACCTGATCACATTTCATTTCTTGCATTAATTGCAGCAGTCCCATTTTTCATGACGTGACTCTGGTCACTACTGGCTCAAACTTTTACTAATTGTTCACTTTAAAACACCCCACACCGGACACCAGTACAGTACGTAAATTTAATTACCTGCTATGGTAGAGCGTTGGTCTACATAGCCGGAGGTCGGGTGTTCGATTCTGGGCTGATGTAAGAATTTGTTACCTGTGGTAGAGATGGGAATTTCCTTAGATCAGTTTCGAGTATTCTGCCGACTACTCAGAATTAGGTTTTCCTGCAGTTTTCCTAATTCGTAAGGTAAATACCGGAGTAATGTAATAGAACAACTTAATTATGCGGGTCACAAAATAATTGGGCATAAGCCTGTTGAGGGCACAGAACAAGATGGACAATAAATAAATAAATAAATAAATTGATTTTCTTGTCACAGGAATTTATAGCCGTCCTTTAAATATATTGATTATAACAATTCAATATTTATCATTTACTTGCAGTCTATTCAGACGTAGCACGCAATATTTGAAAATTGTATCCATGTTTAATATTCGAAGCGCCCTTTACAATATTGGCGTAATTACAATTATTAAAAAAAATGCGACTATCCAAATATTCGAATTATTCGAGTTTAAATTCGTATGACTATTAAACTACATACTTACCTTTTTTTAAAAATCAAATTTGCGTTTACAGACATTTAAATGATAAAAATGATTTATCTTTTTCCTGAATAGATTCATACGAAATAAAATCAAGAAGTATATGCAATTGAGACCTCAAGTCGGGTCAGTTTCATCGAAACGCCTGATTTACTTAAAAATGTTAACTGGTTGCATTTTTACCAGTGATGACAAAAATTTTGATTTTTTTCCACATAGGTATCTAGGTAGTAGGTAATTAAATATTTTTCATTTTAATCGGATTTTTTATTTAAAACAATTTTTAAATTTAATCAATCACGAACTGTCACTCGCTGTGTGAGCGCAAACCAATGCCGAGCGAGCCGAAGACGTCCACGGCAACAAACGAGAGAATTCTCCATGATTTTTTGGGTGACAAGATATAAAATACTAAAAGACAAAAATAAAATAAATAAGACTTTAAAAAATTTAAAAACTGGCAAAAATACGTTTCAACAGAACACAGAATCTGAATTAAAAATCAAAAAATAAAATTTTCGTCGACATTCATATTTCTCCATCTATTCTTAAGAGTCTTAAGATTTTCAACGAAAATTTTATTCTTGACTGTTCACTTCAGATTCTGCGGTTTGTTCACGAAGTGTTTTTTTTTAATTTTTTTTTTTATTTCTCAAATAATGAAATAGTTTCAGTTAACGTTTCGTTATTCTATAGGAAGAAAAAATAATTCTCTCTAGATCTCAGAATTCTTCTGAGAACTTAACTTTCTTTTTCTGAATCTTCTTAGTAAGTAATTTTAAATTATTTGTAGGAATCTTTTAAAAATTTCCTTAGAGAAAATGTTAGCAGAGTCTTCCTAGAAGTATTCTTCAGAAACATCTTATCCTTTTTGGTATTGTAAGTCTTAGAAATTTCTTTAAAAACCTTTTTTGAACTATTCTCTAAAATTTGCTAAAAAGTATTGGCAGAAAAATAAATAATACGGAACGATCTTGTTGGCATTATGTGCAAGTATTATATAAACCTTATTGGTATTACTCACTAAAAACCGCTTTAAATAAAAAAAACGTAACCAAAAAGAAACATGGTGTAAATTATTTTCGAATGAATGGTTACCAAAAAACCGTGTTGCACATTAATTTACGAGAAATGCACAAAAAAATCAAATTAAGATAAAGAGATGGTTATAAATGCGAAGCTTACGCGGAAATTTGTTAGTTATTTTATTATGATTATATATTTTGTTATTTATGACTCACAAAAGTGTTTTGCGTGAATTTCAAGCAGTCAATACCGTTTAAAACGGTACGTGTTAAGCACCAAAAAATTAATATAGGACTCGTAAGTACCGGCGATTAATCATTGCCGGTGCTTATAACATCAACTCAGCCAAGCTAATTATGGATTCCTGTTGATGTATATTAATTACTCGTACCACAATGTAGCTTCCAGCATACCATACTCATAGCTCATCTTCTGTTTATACCAATTATGGCTTTATTTAATTTGGAATTTCTCTCAATAATGTAAAAAAGCATGCCTCCCATGCGCTTAATGACAAGCAACTTTCCAATTTCACGGCTCGACCATATTCGTCAATCACTTTTTGCTATTGACAAATCAATTTGAAAAAGTAATTAGAAACTTACGGAGGTATATAGGTTACTTAAATAATTTTTTATCACGCTGCAGGTCACCCATGACGTTCCTATCTACACAGTATACACACCTGTACAGTTACAGTACAGTAATATATGGGTTGCAAACTCAAGAAGGCGGTGGAATTTTTTGAATAAATTTTCCCGAGAAGTCTCATAGGTTAGTTATTAATTAGTTAATTACTAATTAGTTAATTAGTTACAATTTCTTAAAAAGAAAGATTGACATAATTTTTGTTCATTCATGCTTTTAACAATGTTGTTGCCCGATTGTAGTACGATTCACACCAGGACATTTCCCATCACGAAAAAATCACACCAAAAACAATTCGCGCCTGGAAAATTTCGCACTCGCATTAATTTCACCAAGCATTTGGCTTTACTGGCATTTCGATTCCTCAGCATAATTTCCGACTAGTAGTCGTCTGCAGGCATCTCGCTTGGCTTTATCTTAAAAAAGCTACCAAAGCACCTATTTTACTGCGTACGTACACTCTACATCGTTATACAGGGTGATTCAAAATTGAGGTCAAAGATTTTAAGGGCGCATTTACCAGCCAAAAATAGAAATTTTTTTTCATATAAGTAGTCGTATGCCCTAACTTGCTTCGTTTTCTAGATACAGGGTGTAAAAGTTTTTTTAAGAAATCGGTTTTTTATCAATTATCCAAAGGCCTTATGACGACAAATAAACCTACCAAATTTTATTTAAATCGTTTGAAAGGTTTTTGAATAATTGATAAAAAACTGATTTTTTTT